AAAATATGTTTATATATTTTTAATTATAGGATAATTTTAAATGATATTTAAAAATAATATTTTATTGAATACACTTTTCATAAATAAGAATGTTTTTGTAAAATGTATAATTATTCATGTTAGGAACTAGTATATCCTTATAGATTTAAAAAAAAATGTTTTTGTACATTTTTAATTATACATAATTATTTTTTTTAATAAAAAAATTCATATATATAAAAAGTTTTATGCGTTTATATAATATCAATTTAAAGTAACGTATAATAAGAACGAATTTATATTTTATGCAATAATTAATGTATGACAGTAATATATAAATCAAAAAATTTTTTTAAATTATGTCATTCAGAGCATTAGAATATTATTACTAACATCAATAATATATAAATAGTACATTTTAAAAATAATATGGAAATGAAGGAAAACTTAATGAATTCAAGAAAATAATATTTATTTAGGAAATCTACTAGATATATAGCTTGAAAATAAATAGTGATAATTGCTTTAATAATGTACACAAATAGGCACTATTTAACTTACATTATAAAAATGACATTCAACTAATCATATTATGTATAAAATGAAAAAAACTATAATATTTAATATAATCAATAGTATCTATGGTATATAGTACTACATACAATATTCATAGGGAGTATAGGTTATGACTGTAATATGTACAACAATATAACATATACTGCTAAAATAGCAGGATAATTAATTTCACGAACATTTTTGAATTATCATGTAATAGTTAAAATATATAAATTTATACGATATCCCCTATAAATTAATATATATTCATATTTCATAGAAAAAATGTTATATAGTGTATATATCATAAAATTTTATAAAATAGACAAAACCATAAAAACAAATCTCTAATCCTATATAGGGCTATATATATTCATATTATTTTTACTAGCATAATTTGAATATATTACTAAATGAATAGTTATACATATGGTTGTTTTATTTTTTTTGTATAGCACCTTTTAATATTCGTTAAGAATGGCACGTGAACTTGGGGTAATTTTTTTATACAATGTAAATTATTATTTATGTTAAAATACAATATATCCTTTTAAATAAACCTTTTTATTTCGTTTATAAATGAATAAAATATGTTTTATATTTTTGTTTAAATTTTTAGGATGATGATCTTAAAAAATTGCCTACAAAAGTAAAGTATGCTCTTTTTGATGAGGTAAAAGAGAATTGTGATGATGACTCCTTTTATAGAATTGTAAATTCTCGTATAGGTAGGGAAAATTGGATTTATAATGTTTCTGACAAAATTCCTAAAGCCTTATGTTATGTATATAAAAAAAGTTTGGCAAATGGCTTTGATCAATCTATTTGTAATTACCTTTACTATTGGTTAATTGACGTACTATATAAAAATTTAAAATTTAGACACTCAATTCACCCTATTATGGAATTATTTAAATTTTTACTAAAACGTCATAATGGTATGGATATATGTAATTATGATAATTATGAAATCACTCAAGATAATTTTATGTATATTAAGCTAATATTTGATTTTTCGAAAGATTATGATAAACTTAAAGAATATTTTCGTATGAATCATAGATTATGTAGTAGTGAATTTAAGAAATACTTTGATCAATATATAATAACATATAACACTTACAAAAGTAAATGTAAATTATCAAGAAGTAAGGATGGGCCTTGTATGGCTTTTGAAAAATATTCAAAAAATATTGACTATGGTATTATATCTAAATGGTCATGTACTTCAAAAGGAAATATCCGTAATTCTTCAACGAGTCAAAAAAAAGGAGGAATTGAACGTCCAGATATTCGGCGAGGAGTACATGCAATAAAGAAAGTAAAAGAAATATATGAAGAAGTGTCCATAAATGTGACAAAGGAAACTGTAGAAATAGGAGATGCAGTAATAAAGGGATATCCTGAACAAGTACAGGAGGTTACGATTCCTCAGGGAGGAAATATCAGTTATTCACATTCACATGGTTCAGGCAGGTATGATGATACTCTAGAATTTAAAACCATTTCATATATTTCAAATAACACTTCAGCTTCTTCAGCTTCAAAAGGTATGGTCATTACTCCTATTCTTGTAGGAATAGCGGTTTTTTCTATAATACTGTACAAAGTAATTATTAATGTGAATAAATATGATATATGTATTACATTATATTAAATAAAATTTATTAATTTTTAAATAAGTCCTAAAAATATTATACATAAAATATTTACTAAATATACCATATGTTAATTAGTTTACTCCCGCTGCGTATTGGTTTAAAAAAGTCTTACTAGGAAAATCTAAAGGGAAGCGTAACATTATAATGGATAAGGACATAATAGAATATTATATGATTACTGAAAATTTAGATTCACCGAGAAGATTTAATGTAAAATACAGTAATATATAATTGTTCTGCTTAGGATGCACAAAGAATATATTTTATTTTTATATATCAGTGCTATGATAAGTATTTCTGCACAAAAGCATTCACCGAACAAAAGGCAAAGAATCATTTTTTTTGGAATAATAGTATAAAAAATTAGAAATGAATATATTTAATTTACAAATGTGCGTTGTTTTTAAAATTATAATATTTTCATTAATTCAATGCGAATAAAAATATAGTAAAAATTGTACATATACTAATTCCAAAATACATAATAGTTCAGGATTTAGATTTATAGTTCAATATATAGGTTTGTTATTATGTCTTAATATTTATTGTTAATATTTCAGTACGTTAGTAATTAGAGATACAAATAACATTTTGTTTTTTGTTATTCATATTTTTTTTCAGTGACCATGTACACTAGGAAAATATATTATATTATCAAAATTTACGAGTATATGTTGCATTGACTAATTTTGTATATTAATATTTACTACATTATTGTGGTATAACAAGAATATTATGATAAATGAGTTTAATTTTTTGTTATATACTTGTTGCATATAATAACAAATACTTCCTTATTTATACTTATTATAAATTACAATAATGTTATCAATTTTTTATACTTTTCTTTTTACTCTTTATATATATATCATTACTATTTTTTTTATTTTAAAAAATTTAATTCAAATTTATTATAATCCATAAAATGTAAAATGTGTATAAAGGTTTGCTTACCTATTTGTAATAATATTTTTAATTAAAACAAGTATTGTTATAAGAGTTATTTAATTTATACACAATGTAAAACATTATATTTTTTAAATTTTATTAATTTAATTAAAATCATTAAAGATATTTATAATAAATTGAATATTAATATATAAATAATTTTTGTATAACGATTAAATTTTCTACATATAATTTGTGAATTTAATTATAACTTATTGTCTAATTTAGCATAGCTGATGACATATAATTTCCATGAATTTTTTTTTTTATGATGTCTAAATTCTACTGTTTATGGTATACACATTTATGTATACATATATGAAATAGTTGGCTCATAAATACTTATTTTTTTATATTTTTTATGAATATCCGAATATTAATTTGTGTTACATATTTAATAACATACATCTGATTTATTATTTGTAAATAAAGGGAAAAAATTGAGTCATTGTATAAACCGTTGCATTATAATATGCGTGAAAACAACATAATGTTGTTTTTATGTATCTATTATTTTTTCTTTTATTCATAGTTATTAATAATTTTATATGATTTTACTTTGTCAATAATTATGCCATATTAAAGCATAACGAATTGGAATATAATTCCTATATTACATATTTATATCTATTGGAAATACTTATGGAAGGGGAACATATAGAGCTTTATTTAAAAGTTCTTCAGTTTATAAGAGTACAATTAAATATATATTGGAAAAAATAGCATACGATAAATAATATAAGCATATCAATTTCTCTTATAAAATATATAAACACTATGGTTCTGTGTATTGAAAATGTTTTGATAAGAGTAAATTTCATAATTAAATAAAAAATTATAAAAAACATATCTAGATATCCTTTTATAGACCTTAAATATGGCAGAAATGTGGAGTTATAATTATATGCAAAAGGTATGGAATTAAATAACGATCATAATTCCAGTATATTTCAGCGTTCTCATAATTTTGGCAAATAGGAAAATTTTAAACATTATATACCTTTGAATATATATTAGAGGTTTAGGCAATTCTAAGTCTTAAGAATGTTCAAAATTAATAGAATTTAATATGTTCACCTGAAAATTATGAAGTATATATATTATGTATTTTTTATAACGAAATATAATAATATAATCATAACACTTTAATTAGATTAGAATTATCGTTTTAAAAATATATTGTCTTTTTCACAACATTTTGTGTATGCTTTACTTTAAGGAGTATTAAAATTTCATTTTTACTATATTCAGCTTTATTTTATTTATTATATACTAATCCTTATAATAAAAATTTGAAAGATATTAGTTCATTTTGAAAGAATATCTTATTAATATATCAATTAACATTCAACTGTGTTTGATTATACTGTAAGAAATATTTAGCTTTTATATAATGTTATTAGAGAGAGCAAAATAAATCTCATTCTCGTACAACATTGTATGTTTCTTTTAAACAAATATTTTTTCAAACTATATAATTATTTATATAATTACTCAGAATAATATATTATATTACATATTCTATTTCTGGAAATATTACTTGATAGTTCTGATGGTTACTATATATTATATTCATTATATATGTATTCTCATTGTTTTCTTTTTCTCATTATTCTACTCTCTAAGTATGATTCACAAATGAGCTAATTTACAATAAAAATATCCGTGTATTAAAAATGTAACTTTATTTTGATAAATTATATATTTTATTATAATTATTAGGATTAATAATTTTATAGAACAAATATACATAAACCACGTCATAATTAATCTTATACAAAATAATTATAAAAATGGATATTAATATTGTTACAGAAATTGTAGTTATGTTAGGAATGGTTGAGATAAGT